ATGAAAGTGTATCTCCCGGAAAATATATGGCTGTAACACCAATGGACAAAGTTACTCTTCTTAATCTAGGGATAAATGTTCTGTGCCATTGCCTAAAAGAACAGACCTGCCCTGACTTGCAAGCTAGGACAACAGCATTTAACATTTGCAATTTTTATTTTGAAGATTTGCTTTGTTTTTATTCCATATGTACATATATACATATCTGACTGTCTGCTACATGTGTTCGGGTGGCCTTGGCGGCCAGAAGAAGGTGTCAGATTTCCCATAGCTGAGATACAGGTTATGACTGAGCAGATTATGGGGACTGGAAACTAAGCTTGGGTCCTCTGGAAGAGCAGGAAGCACTCGTAACTACTAAGTCATCTTTCCAGCTCATGAAATTTTCATTTTAAAAAGCACTTTAGAAATCAATGTAGTTTATAAATCAAAAAGAATGGGGGAGAGTTTGAAATATCACTTTGTCACTAGGATCCAGAAGAGTTAAGACCGAGGTTCTAACTTCACACAACCCTCTCTGCCCCAGAAAGGCAATGGAGGGATTCAAACTATTTTTGTTTGCCCTCTTTTCTGGCACTGTTACTCAATCCCCAGACTCTACATCCAGAAGATCAACAAGTTCTCAGTTCCACATATGAAGATGTTTTAAACAACTTTGGATCTTTCTATGAGAGTACCACTATCTCAGGCTATCCTAACCTAGTTGACACATCTTACCTGAAACACAATCACTTTCCAGCTGGTTACCCCTTATCTTAACCTCTAATGCACAATATAGGACCTAGGAGACTGTAGACTCTAAAGTCTGCCCATGTCTTGTGCTTTCCACCTTACCCACATCAGTTTTATAATAGATCTTTGCTGCATTCAGAATAAAGCCAAATAAGAAACTATTAAATCGGAGATGATTATGCACCAAAGCTAGCAATTATGAATCCACAGATCTTAGAGGAGTCCAGCGAGCATCTAGCTTAATACAAACTGCAGTGGATTCCAATGCAGATGACCATGAATCACATTTTGCAGAACATTTGGACATTTCCTAGGATAGAACTAGAAAATATCTGATGTGTGAATGACTGTTCTGAGTCTAATATTCACATTCCAAGATATCAGTAACTATCCCAGAAATATGTTGGTCATGCAAGCTTTAAAAGGGCACATGCCATTATTTTACTTCAGACATACAGTGTGTCTCGTGTTCATAGGAAGCTTTCTCAGCCAACTGATTTAACAAATGATGATCCCTGAGAAGAATAACAGTAAATCTAGAATGATTTTCAACTAGATTCTAATATCAAATAGCTTTCTGCACTTCTTTGTGAGGGTAACTTCTGAACTACACAATATCCCATTGGCATCTGAGGATTTCAGATAATGTACTCAGTGATCTTAGAGAGGGAGAAAAGTATGAGTTAAGGACATCAAAATAATAAATCACAGACACACTTACCTGACTGTCTGATTGCTAAACTCTAAAAGAATACACTGGATAAAGCAATCTCAATTCTACTTCAAAGTTTCCATTGCTCAAGGTCTAGGAGGAACACCAAGCCAAGAACAACCACCTATGCTGATGTTCTTAGTATAGACTTGGATATAACAATTTGTAACTGCACAAATGTCTGAAAAAAATGCACATACAATGAAAATGTTCACTAATACAGAAAAAAAGATGCTTTATGCAAAAATTTATAAGAGTAGAGAACAGGAGTGAGAGAAATTGCCACAATGTACATGCCTACTACAAACTTTGCCCAGTGTTAGGTACCAGTGCATTCTAAAGCTTAATTACTTTCTTACTCACTTTTTAAATGTTGAAATAAAAGATTTTTAACTTAATCAGAGACACTGCAATTAGAATCGGTAATTGTAAGTAAGATCCAATGTTTTCTTTTGGACAATTACACTGGCTAATGATTTTGCAAAAGCCATGCATGTATATGTGTCTGCACGCCCGTGTATGTGCACATGTATATGTGTACATAGGTGTTTGTTCTTTGGTTCTTAATTCTTTTTGCTATGTGCTTTTTCCTCTCAGCCTAGTGTCACAACAAATCTACATCATTGATCTGAACAGGAGAACTTAGGGATATAGGTTTTGCTGCAGATTATGCGTACCAGGCAGAAGTAAGAGTTATCAGTTACACCATAAAAATAAAGGTAGATACATTCTTTATGTTTTTCTCCTTAACAAATTGCTTCCAGGAGACATTATTTGTATTTCTATGTTCTTTTATGCTAGTTAATGAAATGCATGTGCCTTCCCTTCCCCTTTCAATGGTTTCTGCTTAGATTACAGAAACAGAAACAGTCTTTACTAAGCATGAATTCAAACTTTTTTTCATTTTTCTTACTTTTGAGCAAAAGGGATATCATTCAGGAATGAAAAATTGTCATGCGGTCATACTAAAAAACAATTCATTTCTCTTCCCAAAATTTAAGTGGATGTTTTTACCACTGAGTTTCATTTTTTTTCTACTAGATTTGAAGTGTGATCATTTATGTTAGCTGTTAGCTGTGTTACAAATATTTGTGCATGTATACATTATATATAATGTTGCTCAAAGAGCAATACTTCTTCACTGATCAAACTATTTCTTGTTCTTCACATATTATGTGAACCAATGCTAATAGTAAATGGCCTCTCACATTCAAATCCACCCTCCTTTCCCTTCCCAGTGATAAGAAAATGGATTCTGTCAACAATTGTTTTTCCTTTATCAACTATGCAGTGTCAAGTCTTGTCAAGTGAGTTTTCTGGAATCACACTCCAATGTCAGACCAGGAGAAGGGAGCTTTTATCTGGTTCTTTTCCCAGGTCCTTCCTTCCTTCCTCCCTTTCTTTTTCACAGCTTCTAGAACTGTCAGGCTGGGAGTTTCCAGTTACCACATAAAACAGTTGTAGGGTCTTATGCTTTATATATTTCTTCCTCCTTGGAGCTGTGGACTCTCTTCACCAAGGTGTGAACTCATTGACTTGAGAGGAGGGCACTCTTGAGCATCCTCAGCCTTTCCTAGTTCATGATTCTGCACCCTTAGAAGTTGCTTCTGGCTCTGCATTTTGTAATTCTAATTTCTTCTTTTATTAAAAGTTTTCATTCTAACTACCTGTACATATGTATGTGCGGGGGTGGGAGTTGGTGAGGTGTTTCTCCAGTTGGTCTGCTTGTTGTGGATCCTTAGAGGTGGTGTGGGTCATGCTACTGTTGGGCTTTTCTTGTCAAGACCATCACAGTTTTTTTGGTATATATTGCTGTGTCTTGTGTTGTATTAAAATATATTCTAATAAAAATGAAAAAAAAAGTTTTCATTCTACCTCTTTTGGTGTTTGATCACCTTCTGCTCATTAACAAAGCCTTGTGTTAGATTTCGTTTTTCCAGCTCAAATTCATGCTGTAGATTGTACTCTCCTACAGGACTCTGATGATATGTCACCATTTTGGGTTCTGTGGTTAATGAGATTTCCTGCAAAGGAGCTACTGGTAAAAATTAATAGACAGAGGATACCTAGGTAGGTATAAAGTGGGGAATTCCATGACTAAGAAAATTCATGACTGTTTTAGGAGGCCTATTCTAATGGAAGAAAGAGAAGATATTTACATTATAAAATGGAGATTTCTGCTCCCTCATGAAAGGCAGAGAGAGCCAGAAAAATTGACTAACAATGTGTGTAAGTAACAATGTGTGTAAGTACCTGAAAACGGGGTGTTTAGTTTTGTTTGTTTTGTTTTGTTTGGTGTTTTGTTTTGTTTGTTTTGTTTTGTTTGTTTAGGTAGAAAGTACCTAAACTTGCCCATTTCCCCCTGAGTTATTACAGAGAGGGAAGAAATTGGGAAGAGCTGACAAGGTGAGAGTGACTGGCACACAAGGACAAGGGCACTTTTTCTAATTCTCATTCTCTGGACCTTAAAGCATTATGGCCCAAGAATAGAGGATGCCTGAGGGCTGGAAAAGATTGTGGACCTCCAAGTTGACAGAAGGGCAGCATGGGACAAAAGACGTGCACATGGAGGAAGCAAGCAAATCAGGTGTCAGCAGGAGGATGTGACAGAATCTGACCGGCACCAATGAGCAAAGTATTAATCAACAAATCTTCTATTACAGAGTACTGTAGTTAGAAGGGGAAATGAAAGGTCGATCACTAACATGTTCATATATAATTGGGACTTTTTTCTAGCCCACCTATTTTTAACAGACCAGATTAATTCCCCCACCTATCCATCTCATTTTAAAGAAAAATAAGTAAACATCAGTTAACTGGAATCCAAGAGTCTCAACATTCAAATTTTCCTTGGATTGATTTGCATGTGACTTCTACATATGCAGATTGTATGACAAGGCTGTCACCACGCTCAGAGACCAGAAGAGTGTCTTCCTATGCTACACTTATTGCCCTTGGTGAAAAGCAATTACCTATGACATTCTTCAGGCTTATGAAAGTCCAAGCAGGCATCTTAATGGTAGAAAATTATTACCGTTAATATAGTGTTTTCTTTAAATTTTAATTATATGCCACATTGCAGCTATGTAGATAATTTTAAGAGAAAAATACAAAATATAAATGGCCAATTTAAACACTCAAGATGAAGGTCTGCTTCATAATATACCCAGATATACATCCTCCTGTTATGTGAGTAGATATTAAATGCATTAAAAAAACTCCGTGACAGGGCTGGAGAGATGGCTCAGTGGTTAAGAGCACTGACTGCTCTTGCAGAGGAACCGGGTTCAATTCCCAGCACCCACATGGCAGCTGTGAACAGTCCTTAACTCCATTCCAGGAAATCTGAAGCCCTCGTCTGAGCTCCCTGGCATTGCACAACACAGATGCACTCACATGCACGCAGGCAATACACTCATACACATAAAATAAAAATAATAAAATATTTTTAGAAAAGAACTCTATGACAATAAAAATAATTATTTACTCGAAATTGCCCCCATTTTCCATATGTTAAGAAAAAAATTATTTTATTAAAAAAATAAAAAACACTCACCATATCTGTATCTGAGACAGGGCCAAAACTGGTCACGTAGATGTTAGTGAAGACTTCAGTAATACTGTCTAATATGAAGAAAAAGAAATTTGATATAGATTTTACATAGTAGAAGCCATAAGAGAGAGAAAGGGTTGAGTAACTGTTCACAACCAATAGAACGCTACAGTTAGAAATACTTTCATGGTCCTCCTCAGAAAGCACAGTTCATTGGAAGTTTCTCTTTTAGGAGTATATTGTTTATTATGAACAGTTTTTTTTTTAAGCAAACTAGGTTAAAAATGATCAGTAACACAGACAATAACTTATGCTTACTACATCATATTCTAATTTGATGATTTAACTATTTCAGATGTCATTTCATGATAGGTAGAATTAATAGGTTACAAACCAGACAAATTAGTTTACAAATCAGTATATCTTTCCCATAAACACAAAATCATTATAAATTATATTACAAATTATATCATATATGCCATATTCATATAAAAGCCTTATTATTTAGTAGCTTTTAAAAAAACTTCCATTTAAGCATATTAGATTGTTTCCAAACAAGTTTTTCTACAACTGTGTTTACAACTGTCTGACATAGTAAGGTTGAACTGAATTAGATTCTAAAATTTAGATCTTTGATTTTAAATAAAGACTAATTCAATAAATGCAAAAGCTCAAAAAATTATTCAAAATAAAAACAACAATTCTTAAAAAAATGAATTTTAAAGAAACAGACTTTAAAAAGATCTTTGATACTTACTGTACAAGGTATTCTTCAAAGGATTTGAAACACGATAATCTACATGGCAAACAGGCAACAGGTTCTCTATTGCATACCTATGCTTGTGCTCATTATGTACAGTAAGCAAACGATTCCAGAGAATTCCCCTCCTCCACCCCCTCCCCCCATTGTTGCCATAGATAAGAATCCAGTTTTAAAATGCAGGCACTCTGGCCTCTGAGTCTTCAGGCTAAAATAAAGTATTGTAATATGGTGAATGATAATCTTGAAACTAAATGTAGGATCTTGATGATTACCTATTTCCACTCTCTGAATTCTCTATGCCAAAACACAGTGCACCAATAAATATATTTATTGAACTTTATTTAGTATATCATTTCATTACTGAAAATGTGTTTATTAACTCTATTATATAAGACCCTTGGAACATAAATAAATTAATACAGTTATTCTTATGTGATACCTATCTGAAATACCTGTGTAGTGCCGGCTTCCTGGGCATGAAACAGGTACAGAACCCCAAAAACCCATGCTTGGACATTATTTGATGTTCAGTTTTTGTCTCTTAAACTTTTCACTGCTATGTTTTTAACAAAGGCCTTGTATTTTCATTTCAGACTGAATCTCATAAATTAAAATTCTGTTCTGGTCCTAAATTATACATACTATTAGAAAGAACCTAAGGAAACCCAAGTTTTTATTTTCCTCTTATAATACATCAATCATATTATTGCATTTATTCAATGCACAAAAGAATAAAGCTTCAGACATTATAGACATCTAATTAAAATAGGCCATCCTGGTCTACATAGTGAGTTCCAGGACAGCTGGGACTACAGAGAGACCCTGTCTCAAAAAGACCAAAAAAATAAATAAATAAAATTCGTGGAAAGAAAAATTAAATCATCCTAATATTGCACTAACTAGAGAAAATTATTCCCCCTAGTCTGAGTAGCAAATTTAAGGAAGTGAGATGACAAAACCGTGAATGCAAAGGATATAAATAACATTCGTTCTATGCTAAGGGCAAACAGTGGTTAAAGGGGTGCTGTTAGTATCTGGTGTCTATAAGAATCTGCCAGTTTGAAATTGGAAGGTGAAAAACAAAGTGAGCCTCTAAGTTCTGAGTAACAATAGATCCACCTGAAGATATAATATATGGATGCAAAATAACCTTAGAGAAAGTAAATGCTTTCATTATTTAGGGAATTTAAAAACATTGCTAAATAATAGATTGATTTTAAGGGATAGTCTCTCACTGCGGACATTCAAGCAAAGGAAGTTCAGAAAAGGATCGACATCTTGTCTATCAAACAGTTATCTAAAAGGCATTTGAGCCAGGGAAAGGGTTCTTTGGGATTGAGATTTGGAGGATTCCAGTGTGGATCAATATAAGCAGCTCTAAACAATGTGGCTCTAACACCAACAATGTGGATTAATGAGTTATTTTAGTTGGACAATGACAAATATTTTATGCATCTAACAATTCTGAGTATTCTACATTCAAATTGCAATGTATGATTACGATTCAACTTTCTTTAAGAGAAAGGAAGAAAAACAAAAAGAGATGAGATTATAGAAATAAAAATTGTTTATGGATATTGTGACACAGGTTTGTCAAAGACAGTCTATAACATATTCCATGTTTGTCTTTTGATTCCATCTTTGGAATAAAGCAGTGTAGAATTGTTTTATTAATATCCATTATATGTTCTTATTTATTGGATTCGTGGATGCCAATAACTAAGCCTGGTGGCATCTTAGATCTCTGCATTTTAGGAAACATGAGTCATTCTCTGGAGTGAACACCCAGGGTGAGGTCCTGAGTCACAGCCATCACACTGGCTATGATCTTTCTTTTTCCAGGTATGGATAATTGTTTCTCTGCCTTAACATCTTTAAGTACTCTCTCCTTAGTGTGGTCCCTCACTATTTCTTCTAATTAATCTCATTTTCATCCCCCCCATACTTGTTCCTTTGAATAGCAACATTTTAATTTTATACTGTTGTAATATTTTCTGTTACATGTTTGTTGTGCCTCCCCAACCAGGATTCAAGTACTTCAAGGGAAAGGGGGTGTAATATTTCTGTTCATTATATTATAAATGCTTACTACAGGCTCTGTCATGTATTAGATACACATTTGGAATAATCAAATTGTTTCCCATTATATGTCTTGTAGAATGTATTTTACAAAATATTTTATTAATATTAAAAAAATCATGTATAACTGTAACTACAAATAAAAATATACCTCTATTTTTGATTTTTTATACTTAAAATATTTTTATTTATTGTTTTACAGCTAATGTTAATACTCCTATGAGTTTTAAAATATTTATTATTTTTATTTTATGTGTATGAGTGTAATGCTTGCATGTAAGTGGGTGTACCTGTGTGGTGCAATGCCCGTGGAGTTCAGAAGAGGGCATCAGATCACCTGGAACTGGAGTTACAGATGGTTGTTAGCCACCATATAGGTACTGGGAATTGAACCCAAGTCTTCTGCAAAAGCAGCCAATGTTCTTAACTGCTAAGTCATCTCTCCAGCCCCTCTATTTTTGTTAAGTATTCCAAATATTCCATCCATAAAAGCAAGCCAAAGATTTAGGTAATGCTTTCCCAGTGAAATAATGAACTCTAGCAAAAGGAAAGAATATACTTGAAGGAAGCACTGATTCTGTGCAAACCAGAATTGATTTCTGAAGAATAAGTAGCTTTCAACAAAACATGTGCCATGGCTACCCTCAAAATAATCAACTACCAGCTACATGTTTGGCTTCAGAAATACCAGCAGTGCAATATGCAAATGTTAAGAAGATCAGATCACACATTTCTCTGGATGAAAAACATTATGAATTTGATAACAGGTAATTTGGTAGAAATTAATGCACGTAACAAACATGGACAAAAGTTCCAACCTTCTGAACAATAATCAAAACCAAAATGGTAGCTATTGCTGGAGGAAGTGTAAGAGCAACAGCTCTAAAGGGTACTGAGGGGAGCACCATGTGCTTCTAGTGGTTATTTCTAGTTTATCATAGTCAAATTTCACAAATCTTTTCAGATTTGATGAATATGGCCGTTGAATAAATCGCATCATTCTCTACATTGCTGTGAATGTCTGAAGTATTTCACAGGAAAAAAATGACCCTAAATATATAATGAATATATAAATAAGCTTTTAGAGCTTAACTTAATTCATAAAAAAGTTATCCACTGAAAACTATTATTCACTAATATTACAAAGTGTTTTGAAAACTATGAAAGAAAATAATATGCAATTAATCATTCTACAAGATTCTTTTAACACTGATATTTGAGAGAGAAAAAAGTGTAAGTGAAGCATGATTTCTGCTCATGAAGAATTCACATCATAGAGGAGGGGAAAATTAAAACTGCAGTACAGAAACGGGATGGCAATAGCCCAATGCTAAGGGAAGCATCTTAGAAGCAGCTGAGCAGGTGAGTGTTGCGTTTTTAATGTTCAAAGGTAACAACCGTTCTCTACAATTGCAATGTGTAAGAAAAATATTCCAGGTAGAGAATCCCATATTCAAAAGTCGAGTCCTGAATATAGTTAGATTGGGTTCATGAATCAAATTGGCAAGTACAAAATGATGAGATAGAAGGTTGAGAAAAAAACCTGCGTTGTGTTGAAGAGAATTGACCCATCATTTTTCTGAGAATAAAGTCACTCCCTGTGTTTATGACAGTATGGGGTTTGAGAGTAAGAAGAGTCAAAACAGGGGGAAAGCTGGTTTCTCTGTTTTTTAAGGTAATGCAACTGAAACAAACTACTGATCTCACCACTAGAGAAGATATTTTAAGGCTGAAAAAGTGATTTCCATACAGCTGCAGGAGTAAACAAGGAGGGCTGGAAAGCAAATGGATAAAGAAAACATGAAAAGAGAAAGTAGAAAGCACTCCTTTTAAAAACTTGTCAAAAGGAGTTTCAGTGAACTCACAAGCAGCTGGCCTGTGCAGTGTAAAGCAATACAGGATAGCAATCAAACTTTCCAAACAGAAACTTCTAACACTCAGCAAGAGCAAAACCATGTTCTCATAAAAGATTGATAGACATTTAGATGCGTATTCTTAATACTGCTTATTTCTTCCCTCCCTCAGAACACACACATATATTTTAAAATTTATTTTCTCTTTGTATAATAATATAATGTTAGAAAGGAAAAATTATAAAAGAGAATAAAAATAAAAGCATAAAAACATTTCTGAGAACTTTTACATCTACTAAATGAACTTATAGTAGACATATATTTAAGTCTGACCAAGCAATCAACTCTATTATTCTAAAAAAGGAAAACACCTGAT